CCCGGCACTGCCTCGTTGTGCCGTCCCGCGCTTGCTTCAGGGGGTCGTGTTTTTTAGTAGCGAAACTTTTTTTTTTGGCAGCTCGTGTAGGTTAGCTAAACTGGCCTGTAAAAGGATACCATTACTGCTTCAGAGATGTTACATGTTAGATGGAAAAAAAGACAGACATAAAGTAGAACGTAATCCTCCCCCCCAGAAGCAGGCTGGAGGAAAGAAGGAAACGCTGAGGTGATAATGTGGTTGGCATCATCCTGTGGTTATAGGTGTGAAGAGCTATCCCCATGGATTTGTGTACTGTACACAGCCGGACAGTGTTCCTCAAAAGAGTCTAGAAAAGTGGCCAAGAAAGAAAAAACCAAATCCAAATCTAGAACTAACACTTCCCTGAATAAAATTCTAGCAGGCCTGGAGGATTTATATAGCAATTGATCTATTTTGGCAAGATTTACAAGCGTGTATGGAAGATTTCTATTTTTAATCAGTGCTGGTTTATTTTTGGGCAGCTGCGTGGTGTGAGTAGCTTATACATTAAAACATGTAATTTCTTACAACATGATATAATAAATAGCCCAAGTTATCTGCTCACAGGTACACGCTGTTACATGCTGTACCTCACAGGTACAGGCTGTGAACTGTCACGTTGTCAAAGGTTAAATTTTCTGAGTCAGTCTGTAGAAGGTACATGCAACAACCCAAATCCTGATTTGTTTTTTATTTCCAAAAGATTGGTATTTCTTTTATTTCCAGTTGTTTGTTAGCCTCAGTCCAACCCTTGATGGGTGCATTTACTTTTTGTTCTTCAGAGTTACTTTACTACATAGCCACTCTGGTGTATTTGAGGATCCAAGCTAAAATTCTTAGTATCAGCCGAGAATGGTGCACCTAATGTGCCTTTATTTCCACATAAGATTTTACAAAATTAGTCAACTTGGAATAAGGTTGAGATTTTTCTTAAATCCAAGGGGCTTGTGGTCATTTGACATAGAGGATTGTCACCATGGCATGCGCTAGGCATGCAGAAGGTGACTCAGGAGCAATGCCTATCAAGCACCAATGTCTATGGCAACCATGACTTCAAATCATGTCACCCTACCAAAAAAAAAAGAAGCACTGATTAAAAAATAAAGCTGTTCCACACCCGTCTTGGTCACCATGGAAGAAAACAGAGCTGTGTTAAAAGCAGTAAATGTAATGCTGCTCTAATCAGAGCATAGGTTTAATCCAGATTTTGGCCTAGAAAGACAGAACTAGTGTGTAGGCAAACGTACACCCACATGGGAAACAGAATTGTATTAACTGTGTAACTGGTTTTGCAGCTTTTTGAAACCTTTAGTGTTCATCTGCTCTTCTTCTGGCTCTCAATTTCCAAACAGACTGAGGATTATTTGAATATATTTATTGTCCTTGAAGTATGTTCCAGGCTGTTTCCTTTGAATAACTTTCGGATTACTGGATCACTGCTATGCTGTTGCGCACAATCGGAGCTATGTAGCTGCCCTACAACTTCGTGCCAACTGGTCTATCAGTGTTTCTGATTCCGAAGGCAGACAGAAGGATTTTAAGCCACTGCTAAACAACTAGCTTCTGTAGAGCTTTTGAACTAGTGGTGAGCGCTGAAAGTGCATGAAATGTTTAAGACTCCAACACAGGCTTGATTTTCTCACAAGGAAAAGGAAGGGAACCTCCAGTGCTATGGATCGGAGGGCTTAGTACTGTAGAGATGTCTAATGGGGCCCTTTTGCTCAGAATAGCTATCCTGGCAGACAGTGTACTGGAAGGTATAATTTCCACTCAGAAAAGGTCTGAGTTGGTTTTTTTTCCGCTGTAGTTTTTCCTTGAGGTCTGGCTACCCTACAGTAACAGCCCTAAAGTGGAGGAATTCCCAAGCCAGCTTTGCAATAGCTAGCTCACGTCCTGGTAGCAACGTCATTCTGGCACCATGGAGCTCAGAGCAGAGTAATTTGCACATTTTGGGGGGCTGCCAGTTGCAACCTCCCCAGTCCTCATGCTAATGTCATTAGTCTGCTGTTCATACTAATGCTAGTTCGTTTAAAACTAACTCAGCCATAAGAGAGTTTGTGCTGCAGCTCTGGCTGCAAGAAACATTTGAGAAGCACAGCAACGGGCCTGACATCAGACCATCCCCTTGTGCTTTCTACCTATGTGAAGAACTCAGTCCTTAGCACCTCTTACCTAGAAGCACTAGGGTTAAAATGTCATCTTCATGTGGCTGCATCCATTCAACATCTTTCACTTGCAAGTCTGGACAAACTTCAGCCAATGCCTAAACGTACCTTCTGGTGTTCCACCTCCTACAGGTGACTC